ATGTGTGTGTATATATATATATATATATATATATATATATATATATATACACACACACACACATTCTGATTCTGCGATCACAGATTTTAATGCAAAATCAAGTGAACTGTGCATTATTAGCAGCAGCTTGCATTCCTGTCTTATTTCATTAGTTTAATGATGCTAATATCGGAATTCACCAGTAGATTCGATTCAAATAAGTACATTATTTTACAGGATATGCACTTTTTAATATTTCAAGTGAATGCAATCACTGATAATACTACAAAAAAATGATATTACAACAATAGGCTATGATAGAATTTTGAAATTGTAAAAACATGAAGTAATAATTTATAACATTTAACATGTAAAGCATATAATCAGGAACACAATTCTGTATTCTCAGCAAAGCAGAATTATAAGTATTTTTATGCTAGTATCACCATTGCCTTGTGCATGAGGGTCCAGAACCACAATTTCAGAGATTATGCACAAAAATATTTACAATTCTACTTTTAATGTCTCTGACACTAATTACATAAGTACATCATGATTACTGGTGGGTTTTCACTGAAAAACAACAAAAAGAGAGAAAAAAAGGTCCTTCGAAATCCTGGTGGGACTCGAAAGTGGCTTAATGCTTTTCAGGCATCTTATAATGTGGACAGCACCATTCCTTCTTTTAAGCTGAGAAAAGCTTGTTAGATAATCCTCAAACATGTTTTGTTCTCTAATCCAAGGCACCGTGGTTGGGGTGGTGATTTACACCGGTAAAGAGCTGCGCAGTGTAATGAACACCTCCAACCCAAGACATAAGGTAAAATTAGCAAGTACCCTAAAGTCAGCATCATTTTAAACCAAGTCCAAAACTGATAAATCTGTCTCCCACTCATACTGGATGTGATGTGCTGTTGCAGATCGGCCTGATTGACCTGGAAGTGAACTGTCTGACTAAGATCCTGTTTGGTGCTCTGGTGGTGGTCTCACTGGTCATGGTGGCTCTGCAGCACTTCGCTGGACGCTGGTATCTCCAGATCTTCCGCTTCCTTCTGCTCTTCTCCAACATCGTCCCCATCAGGTAGGAGTTTATTCTCCTCTATATGTCTGTAAAATCTGTAGCTGTTTCCTTCAGCTTGACAGTACAGCAATAAGTTCAGACATTTTGAAGATTATAGTTTTATATCTCTCATACTGAATGTCTTGTAATGCTTGACTGATTAATCCACTGAAATTTGGCGTTTTGAGATTATTAAACAGTACCAACAGTAAACGCATTGTTGCCTAAATTTTATAAGTTTTAATGCATGTTGGGCGATACAGTTTTTAATGTAGCTAGCAAGGCTTCCTGATCCCATTCCTCTATAATTTCTGCTGCTTTCTCCTAAAAGTGGCTAAAAAGCCATTAAAGGGATGCACCAAAGTATGGGCCAATAAACGGTATGAGCCAATAAAAGCAATTAGCTAATTGTTTAAAAACAGCCGATGATCAGGCACGATTATATGCTGTCAATCAAAAGGGGGTTGATAACTTTTATTATGTTTTTACTCAGTTGAGTTGTAAACAAACAATTCAGTTTTCATTTGAGTATGATTGTTATATCTATATCTACATTATATCTATTATTATTAAAAAAGTAGTTTAATAATAGTTTGGGCTCAGTGGTTAATTTTAACCTCTAATATTATACGTAACATTCCCTGTATAGCTTACAGTAGGGCTGTCACTAACGATTATTTTGGTAATCGAGTAATCGGTCGATTTTTCTGACAATTAGCCCATTTAATCCCAATTTTTTCCTAGACATGAAAATATCCAAATGATGTGTCATTAGTAACCCTTTGAAATTATCAATATTTGTAAATCTTTATGGAAAAGTGTGTTTTATGGTTGGTCACAATTGTGACTGGTGGGTATACGGAATTAAAATATTTCTGCAGTCTTCAAAATTCATATATATCTCTGCCCAGTTATGGACACATTTTAAACTCTGTTTCATCACATTCTCTATTAAACATAAAAACCCTTATACAACACTGATAGGAATATTGAGATAAAAGACAAAAAATAACAACATATTTCAAAATTGTTACTTTATTGTAACATGTATCATAACATTGTTATATTAGTGCAACCAGTATTAAAACATCATTATTGTAGCTTATTTGTAACATTTGAACTTTTAATAACTTTTAATTGCATAATCGTTTTTTTTTTTTTTTTTTAATAAAAATAGACCTAAGCGAACAATAGACTTTAAAATGGCTTAAATGGCTTTCACAGATTCTCGTCCGTGGAATGCATTATTTTGCCGGTTAATCGACATGAACAAAATGCAATCGAGGATTTTTTTATAATCGAGTACTCGAATTTAATTGAGGAATCATGACTTTCTTAGTTTACAGCATTAGTTGGGAGAATTTCTTTTCTTAAAAAAAACAAATTGTAGGTATCGGTATAGGCAGATGTCATTCTGAATAATCGGCTATCGATATCGGTGGAGAAATTTAGTATCGTGCATCACAAATGTCTAGCACTCATTATGCTTTATTTGCAGTTTGCGTGTGAATTTGGACATGGGCAAAATGGTGTTCAGTTGGATGATCAAGAAAGACTCTAAAATCCCCGGGACGGTGGTTCGAGCCAGTACTATACCAGAGCAACTGGGCCGGATCTCTTATCTGCTCACAGACAAAACTGGTATGATTCAAGTGAACTGTAAATGCTTTTGTAAAATCTGCATTTTTGTTAACAAAGCGACAAAAGTTGGCAGATTTTGGTGGGATTTTCCATTGAGAACTTCCATTGTGTGATGTATACTACCAGTTAAAAGGTTTTGGGGTCAGTTTTTGGTTGTTTTTTTGTCATTAATATTTTTATTCATCAAGGATGTGTTAAATTGAACAAAAGTGAAAGTAAAGACATTTCTAATGTTTCAGAGTTTCATATTTCAAATAAATGCTGTTCTTTTGGAACTTTTTTTATTCTTTAAAATAATTTTAAAATAATCCTGAGAAAAGTATCAGTTTCCACAAAAATATAAGGCAGCACAGCTGGTTTCAGCATTGATAATAATCAGAAATGTTTCTTGAGCAGCAAATCAGCATATTAGAATTATTTCTGAAGGATCATGTGACACTGAAGACTGGAGTAATGATGCTGAAAATTCAGCTTTGAAATCACAGGAATGAATTGCATTTTAAAACATTCAAGTAGAAAATAGTCTTTTTAAATGGAAATAATATCTCCTAATATTACTGTTTTTGCTGTATTTTTAATCAAAATAAATGCAGACTTCTTTCAAAAAAAAAAAAAATCTTATCGACCCCAAACTTTTGAACAGTAGTGCATTTCAGAGTAAAGAAGAATGGGAAATGTTTAGTTGGATTGTGGAAAATTATTGGTTAATGTTGTTTTTCCCCATCCAAATGGCTATTGGGTGGGTGCATTTGCCGGTTAGCAACCACTTAGCATCGCCCTAGCAACCATCAGAACACCTTAGCAACCACATTGCAACAGAAAACAGAAAAAATCTAATTACCTTTTATATAAGTGGAAGTTAATTGTAAAAATTAACATTTTTATGTGACTCAGGAGAAAAGGTAAAAGGAAGTCATGGCTTTGACATAGGGGTGTGCGATATCACGATTTTTGATTGTGGAGGATTAAAATGTCTCCACGGTCTGCTTTTGTAGGCATATCGTAGTATAGTGCTACAGCGCACATTCTATCAGATGCAGTTCTGGCGTCTCCGTCTCAATGTACTGTACAACACGTACATTCACATCAAATGTTAACTCAGCGGTAGAGTTACACTGACAGGACACTGCACTTATTCGCATATAAGTGCAGGATGCTTGCCTGTATATTAGACGCGTGCAGGTCTTAAAGCGACAGTACTAATAGTAGGCTACTAAACATGCTGCCGCTTGTCATTAAAGGGACAGTTCACCCAAAAATTTAAATTCTGTCATTATTTACTCACTCTCATGTTGTCCCAAACCTGTATTCATTTCTTCCTTGTGCTAAACACAAAAGAAGAAATTTTGAAGAATGTGGGTAACCAAACAGTTGCTGATCCCCATTGACTTTGATAGTAGGAGAACAACTGGGGCGCCGGCAACTGTTTGGTTACCCACATTCTTCAAAATAACTTTTATGTTCAGCGGAAGAATGAAACTCATTCAGGTTTAAAACAACTTGAGAGTGAGTAAATAATTAATTTTCATTTTTGGGTGAACTATCACTTTAATGTTAATAAAACAACAAAACACAAAGAGAAAAATCACTCACTGCTCTTGAATGAAGAACTTTAATACAGTTGCTTTAATAAGAATCAATTATTTATACAGTGAAGTGTATATAGTGTTTTATTTATTTGTTCATTCAGTTTCTTGAATGCTACTGCTAAATAACCTACTGTACCTGAAAAATAAATCACTGTTTGTTTTATTTGTATATTATGTGTATTTGTAATGTGTATCTTTGTTCTTATTTTTTAATAACAATGATAAAATAATGACAAAGATTTTTATCTTCGCCCACTTTGGCCTAAATATCTGGCATTCTTTTTTAATTTATATTTTGTTACCTTGTAAGGCTTTGTTTTTAAAATAGAGAAATTAGATTGGCTGTCCTGCTCAGACAACTTAAAAATAGTAAAACCTTCCTGACAAAGACGCGTGATAAAACCGTGAATCGTGATTTTTCTGTAAAAAATCGCGATATGATATTTTTGCCATATCGCCTACCCCTACTTTGACAGTTTAATTTACATTGCTTAATGCAAAGGGCTTTTCTGAAAGAACCAAAGCAGAAATGAGAGCGTTATGCTGGTGTGTTTGAGAGATGATAGCGTTGAAGTGTTTTTAAAAGTTTCTCCCAGTAGCTCACAGGTAGCTGAGGCTCTTACCATGGGGCTTAAACTTGTGTGTCGAGAGCGCAGACATGCCACTTATTACAGCCTTAAATCAGAGACGAGCTGAAGGTTCTCATCCTCACACACTTACCGCACAGAGTCAGTCAGCGCTACCCTTCAAATTTATGCATTTGACCGCCTGTAAAATTACAGCCTGTTTCCCACACGGACGCTGATGTAGCTTGACTGAGCCAGTGAATAAAGGGGGTCAGAGGTCATCGTAATGTAAGGGGTAGACCAGCGACGCCTGACTGAAATACTCCCGAGAGGCTCTGTTTAAGAGCAGCCGACGCAAGAGGTGTTAGGAAACGAACCCACGGCTCTTTGTCATTAACAAGCCATTAGTGTTAATATTGTTTAGTTTGATGTTTTTGGCTACAGGAAGTGCATGTCGATCAGGGGAGGTTGGTAGAGGCTGACGTTTCCTTTGACAGATTTTTATTTTATTTTAGTGTTCGAAATTGAATACTAGTGTACTTCACACTGTACAGTATATATTGTATACTGCCTACTATAAAAAAAAAAAAAGATATTGCAATAATAGATTTTACAGCCAAAGTGTGTTGTGATGTATTGGTAAAAGATCTGGGCTGGTAACCGAAAGATCGTAGCTTTGAACCACACAAACGGTGTTGTTTTAGTATCATTGAGATACTGTTTTAAATTAAGTTATTTTTTATTTTTATATTTGCAATTTTCATTAAAATGTGTTAAGGTTTTAGTCATTTTTTTGTTTGTTATTGTAACTAAATTAAACTAAATTAAAATGAGAAATGTTAAATAACTTTTACGACCTTAGTTTAAGTTTAAGGTCTTGTATTATTTATTTTATTCCTGTTGTTGTTTATTTTGCTTCAAGTAACAATTTTTTTAATGGTTTTAGTTAAAGCTGCAGTCCGTAACTTTTTTTGGTTAAAAATGATCCGAAATCAATATTTGAGCAAGTACATAACCAGCCAGTGTTCAAAACTATCGCCTTACTTTAGCCCGATTCACAACGGTTGGTTTATAATAATGTTTTCTAATTTGAGTGGTACGGGTAGGTTTTCGCGGGAAATTCGAGCATGCTGCCGAATTACGTCATGTCTGTAAACATAAAGAAGTTGTCCCGGCTACTAGGCTATCTATCGCATGCGAGGATCCTGCAGGTGGCCGATCGTTTATAGCCTTTTCTCACAGCAGCCAGAATAATTAAGTGTATCATTTTGATGGCAGATTGTAATCTAGAAAGGACTATGTGTTTATGTGAATGAAATTAAATTATATTCCAGTTTTAAATGTGCTTCTGATTACAGATAGCCTGGGATTACATAAGATTTGTATTTTAAAGACAACCAGTTTGAAGGGGGCATTTCAAACTGCTTGCTTTTTGGGTTTTGGGTTTTGCTTTTTGGGTTAAAATAATTTCTTAATATGAAATTCGAATGGTATGACAATTAGAGATTAGAATGTACAAAATTGAAATCTACACGCTAATACACACTATACTAGTGTTGACACGGTACCAAAATTTCAATATACGGT